GGTTCTCCCCAGGCCGCCCGCGGTCGGGGCAGGGCCCGCTGCTGTTCAGCTCCTGTGTGCACCTCAGGGTGTCTCGGCGGTGCCCCAACGCCACCTGCTCTCCGGACCGGTCCCCCTCCGTCCCCGTGGAGCCAGCTCAGCCGGCCGGCCCCCAAACGCACAGGGCCGTCCTGTCCCTCAACCTAAACTGCAGTTCTCACCGACTGACACCAGATGGGGCAGACGGCCCGGCCACCGGGGGGCCAATGAGCAACAGTCTGAAGCCGCAGCTGGCGGAGGCCCCCGCCCTGCACCCCTCCTTGGGACAGGTGCACTTGGGGGCTGGCACATGCCCTTGGAGTGGCCCCCCTCCGACGGAAAGCACAGAACTCGCAGATGCGGGGACTCGGCAGATCACGGCGAGGAAAGGGAAGGGGGACCACGGGACGCCTCGTCACACCGGCAGCCACACCAGCGCTCACACCAACCAGCTGTCCATCCACATTCCCGGCTGGAGCTACCGGGCAGGTGAGTGACACTCGCTTCCCGGTGGGGCCCCAGCACAGGCACCCCGCACCCCCATAGGCCAGGTGCCGGGGTGAATGCCCGGCCAGGTGGACGGCGAGCTTCTCCCTCACTCACCCTCTCCCAGGAGCCGCTCTCAGTCCACGGGCCGCACCCTGCGGTGTCTGCGCTGGCGGGCTCCCCGGGGTGAGATCCTGGGGTCAGGAGAGGCTGGCCCTTCAAGCTTTGTTCCAATGACACGTCCAGAGCATGTGCAGAGGCAGAAACTGTGGCCCAGGTCACCTTAGGGTCGGGAGGGCTGCGTCGCCCCAGAGCAGGCGAGGACAGGGCCCCCCCAGAGGTCATCTCTGGTCCCAGTGTCTGCACATCCCACGGTGCCAGAACCTGCCCTTTCACTGTCAGTCAGACAGCTGATATTTGTGGGTTGGCTCCATAATAGAGCGTGCGTGTGTGTGTGTGTGTGTGCATATGTGTCTGTGTGTGCCTGTGTGCGCACATAGGTGCGGATGTGTGTGAACGGGCGTGCACATGTGCATGTGAATATGTGTGAACACGTGTGCGTGGGTGTGTGCACGTGTGCATATGTGTGTGAGAGTGCGCGTGTGCATGAGTGTGTGTGCACGTGAGTGTGTG